TTTCCCGGAAAACGGACGTTCTACGTCAGCGTCGGCGTCGGCGTCGGCCGACGCGAACGCGTGAAAGCTTCTCTTCTGCACATTCGCAGGGTGGTAAGAGGAAGGAAAAACATCAAGGGGGATGAATTAATTCTTGGCGTTTCTCTTAAAAAACGTAAACGCGCGCGTTACCGAGCACTGAGAAATATTTTATGCTTAAAAGAAGCTATACGTCCGTAATAAAAGAAAAGATATTATTTCATACGTATACATCGGTGCTTTTTATATCTTCTTGGTAAATTCTTCCGCGTGGAGGGCGCGACGCTCCTCCTCGAGCGGTCAAAATTCTCTCTGTTGCGATTGTCCCACTTCTTCTTTTTTTTTTTCTTTTTTTCTTTTTCGATGCCGTAATGCAGAGCATAATAACGGTTATTTATAGGCAGTAAACGGCGCACACTTCTTTTTTCCTTCCTCGAAATCATCCTCCTTCTGTTCTCCTTGTGTTCTCGTTCCTCGAAACACGGGAGTGCAGACTCTCGCGAGAAATCGCGATAACCTCGGAATTTGGTCGGTGCTTTTATTTCTCTTTTCCCTTTGCAGCTGTCGTGATTCTTAAAACGAGCGGGGAGGCGAACGCGCGGGTTACAAGCGCGATCGCGAACCGAATCATCCGCGACCGAAATGCCGCGGGAGATGGAAATTTCGTTGTCGAAGCGATTTGAGCGAGAACGAAATTTCAAGATGTTACGCATTAAATCCGTGGCGTGAATTTAAACGTAAAAGTGTATCTAATATTTAACAAGATAATTCTTCTTTTTTTTTTTCAAGATTATTGTGTAATTTTTAACTATTCACCAATATAATTCTTTTAAAGTCTGTTAGAGGGGATTTTGATTTAGAAAGCGTTTTACGATGTTAAATTTTATGATAGAGAAAAGCTGTTTAATATAAAAATGTAAAATTTTAATATTTATTTACTCATTTTTAAATTTATTTTTACTCCAGGCTAAAATTTTGGTTTTTAAAACACTTTTTAATAATCGACATTTTTCAGGATCACTTTTATTCAAATAATCCAAGTTCTATTTATACATTTAACAATGTATTTTTTAGCAATCATTTTTGGGATCCAACAATTGTTATTAGAACTAAAGTATTATTGTATTGGATTTATTTGTAATAAATACATTGTTATAGATATTTAAATAATCCCCAAAAACGACAAAAAATATTTCCAAACTTTTAAACTTTTAAAAAGTGTACCCAAACTTTCGGCTTAAAGAATAAATTTTTAAAAGTTTCTAAGCTCAATATTCTTGAAGCTCATGTAAACTGCTTTTCACATCCTATCTTAAAAAGATGGTGAACATGATTGGAAAACTTCTATCCATTTTAAACGAACCAAGAAAATTTTTAATGAATTTTGCTATCGTACGTACTATAATCAAGTCGATATCTTTAATATTTATTTTTTTTATTGAAAAAAAGAACAATACTTTACAAGTTTGATGTTTACAATGTCATAATTTTGTGAAATCTTAATGCAATCAAAATTTTACATTAGTTATACTAACAGAATAAAAGTTTTATTCCAGAATAGTAACATTTATGCCGATTAAAAATTTCGTTAATTTATTTTACAATATTTTCATTTATTTTATACAAATATAATATATAAATCCTTGAATCATGTTCATCATCATGAATCATCTTTTTAAGACAGAATATGTGTATCATTTATAATTTCAAAAATATTGAGCTTAGAGACTTTCAAAAATTCATACTTATATATAATTTAAATATAAGAAAATATGTATCGAAAAATAGATATTTCTATAGTTTATATTTTCAAAAAAAACCATGAAATTTACCTTGTGAAAATTATTTTCTAGATCAAAATTTCTCCATAAATTCAACTGAGTATATTTTCCAATAATTAAGAAGGATCCTGTGCAAACGATAAAATGTTGACTCCAGTGTTAATCCACACCTCATAATTCGATACCGAGACTGGTGAGCGCGATCGACGAGCGGACGGAGAAAAGCAGAGAGTCTGCAGAAATTGCACGTCTTGCCATCTTCCACTACGGCATGGGCATACCGCATCTCAGTGGTGGTATCGCGGTTAATTGCGGCTGACAAAGAAATTCCCAGGCGCGAACTCGTGATACGAAGAGGGAAATAATAGAGAGCCGTGGGCGAGAGATGGAGTTAAGCGAACGAGTGCTCTCCTCGCCGAGGAAAACCGAGGATTATCGGCATGCAAAGACAATTTCCCTTGGATAATTGCGCGTCTCGTTGACTTTCCATCAGCGCGAATGTTGCATTAACAAGCACAAGTGTTCCAAAGCTCCGTCAGTCGATAGTTTGCAAAGCGATTTTTTTTACTTTACGAATATTTCAAATAAGAAATCACAAAAAAAAAAGATATTTTTTGTGATTTTTTTCTTCTTTCTTTACACGAAAAGAACGGTTTTAAAGTATCTAAAAATTTAGGGAGAAGAAATTTAGAAAGAGAGAGAGAAATTTCTCTCTCTGGAATTGTTAAAACATGGCGGACCAATAAAAAAATTTCATATTCAGACTGTTATTAGAGAGTCTTCAATTAAATCTACATAACTGCATAGAGACGGTTGAAATTTAGGGAATATTAAATTTACAGCCTAAAGAGACCTCACATTAAAATTTTGGAAATGTGGGTTCATAGGCTTTTCCTGTCGACACGTATGTACGGGAACATGATAGGTACGACAGGTTACATCATCACGAGATTATAACGGTAAGACAGACGTTCACCAAGCGATCACGCGAAAGCGATTTGCGCACGAAATGCGGAACGAATCTAATGCCGAGAGAGAATTTCTCGTCGATGTGCGAAAGATATCGACAATCGTTTTGTTAAGATAGATTGTTGCCGGCTGCGGCTTACCTTATTCGCGAGGTCCAGCATATTTCCGGTCCCACCAGCGGCTGCCTCTACTAGCTTCTGAAGACTATGGGGTTCCGGCGACAAATCACGGGCACCGCTGTCAAACTCCCAACTTTCATGTCGTCCCGACACAGTGCCTGAAGTAGAAATTACGAGTACGTACTAGTACGGTTCGTTTAAAGAAAAATGGAACTAAGAAGAATGAGCAAACGTGACTCGAGCTTGAAAATGTCTCTCGCTATATCAGTCGAAAAAATCAGCTATTATGGTTACTCTACAATGTGCTTTTTGTTTTCTGTTTCTTGGTTTTTGCTATTTTTTACAGCTTGTCTTTTTGCTCCTTATCCGGTTTTTTGTTTTATGTTGCTCGAGATAAAAGTTAACGAACTTCGGAAGAAACAGGAAACACGTAGCAAGAAATACAATTGTCAGTATTAGTCTTCATAATACACATTCCGTTTAATATGCTATACGATCAACGATTTATTATTTGCGATTTGCGTTAAGTGGTCGCGCGATCGGCACGAAAAATTTCTCGCTAACGGATCGAAGTTTCTTTTAAACGAAGCGCAGGATTCGTGATCCCGAAATAAAATCGCGTCCTCATTTCGAGCCTATAGCTTGTAGGAGAGACTGGTATTTAGGTACTCGGGACATAATTAATCTCTTAATAATGACGAGATCTTTAATAAATAACAATAAATAAAGGGCAAAATAAGAGTCAACACATTTCTTTAAAAAAGTCACACAATTAAAAGAATAAATTACAGATAGACAAAAGTAAATTATATAGTAAAAAATAAATAAAAAATAATAAAAACTCAGTTTAAATACAAATATTCATCTCTCAGAGATCTTCAACGTTGGTTATTTCAGTTCCATTTAAAATAATGTAACTGAGCTGCCACAAAAAAATCTCGATATTATTGTATTAAAAAATAATTTATGTGTCCCAAGAGATACAACATGTATCCCTAAATACTACTGTATATTCTTAATATATCCAATTATAAATTTCATTAATTATGATTAACATTAAATATCAATTTAACACAAAATATTGGAAGAATAATTATATTATGTTAACACTCGAATAAGAGTTATAAAAAATATATAATATTTTTGACAAATACAAAGTGTTCAGTAATACTGATATACAATAAAACGGTTTCAAAGAGGGAAAAAGTAAGAGACAAAAAGCACATTGTAGAATAGGCTCAAAAGTCGCTATCAGCTAAAAACATTTTAGTTGTGAATGCGCCCTGAAACAACTATAAAAAATAAAACAGTTAAAATAGTTTGGTTATAATTGCTTATGCAGCGCAAATGACTATATTTTGATATAGTTTTAGTTAAATAACTTTTACAAGTGGATCCAAATAAATTTTGCACAAACGTTTATTAGAGTTTTATTAGTATATATAAAAAATATAATTTAATTACGTAATGCTATTTTTTCATCAAATTTGCAAATAAGTATTACAAAATGTAATTTTGCATAAAAATTAACAAACAAAAAATTAAATAACTTTTAAACTAATAGAAGAATTCTGCTCAAATTTTACGCAGATACTTAAAGACACAATAGGAAAACGATCTATGGAAATTTTATATTTTAGGTAATGCTTGAGATATTTAACGAAAGTGTTTCAATTATTTTAAAGAAATAGTAGCGTGCAAGTTTCTAATTTATAGTAGCACAAAATAGTTAAAAAAATAATAACATTGTTACTTTTTTGTTCGTAAATTGTTTTTTTACGGTTATCGAAGTTCAATGAAGATTCACGGTTGCACACGAATGGTGAAACGGAAACATACGTGGCAACGTGCAATATCCTAAAAGTCGTCAGTTTCAATTCGTTCATCGATCTCGCGTATCCAGTTGCATGCGATCCGCTCGTTCGGGATATTACAAATGCCGTTGCAGTATTTCCACGGTCGTCCCGTATTCATTGTTCCATCAATCATCAATTTCGAGCGGATAGCTCGCGCTCTATTTCCACGCGTGCACGTAACACGCTAGATCGCGATACATTGTCCGACGCGCCGATATCCCATGGTTGTGTTTCGTTGAACAAACATTGTCTGTTTTCATAATCGGCGAACGAGAATGCGATATTTGTTACTCGCGCTATCCGCGAGGCTATCCGGTTCTCCTCAGTCACGGTAATTTATCGTCGTTGAACGGAAGGACCTGTCGCGGAAATTCGGGCGATTTTGTACAATTCTTACCGAGACTGTTGTCGCTGCTGGTAGGCAGGTACTCTGGCGTGTGGGTGTGATGTGGACTGCTCCGTCGTTTGCCAGCCCTAAGCGCCTCGATTTCCGGTCGCAGGGCCAGACGTCGCCTAAGGAACTCTTGGTAGGAAATGCGACCGTGCTCATCCGCGCCCAATTCCCGCATCAATTCCTCCACCGAATTCTCGAGATTCAATTCCCGGCACACCGTCAATAGGTCCTGGCTGAAAATTCAGAAAGCAAAGGGATGCCGTTAGGGACCAAACGCTTATGTCAGATGTCTCGCCGATATACAATTCAATACTTTATATTTGCCAAAAATATTATATTTTTTTAAATATATATATTCAAGTGTTAACATAATATAATTATTCTTCCAATATTTTGTGTTAAATTGATATTTAATGTTAATCATAATTAATGAAATTTACAATTGGATATATTAAGAATATACAGTAGTATTTAGGGATACATGTTGTATCTCTTGGGACACATAAATTATTTTTTAATACAATAATATCGAGATTTTTTTGTGGCAGCTCAGTTACATTATTTTAAATGGAACTGAAATAACCAACGTTGAAGATCTCTGAGAGATGAATATTTGTATTTAAACTGAGTTTTTATTATTTTTTATTTATTTTTTACTATATAATTTACTTTTGTCTATCTGTAATTTATTCTTTTAATTGTGTGACTTTTTTAAAGAAATGTGTTGACTCTTATTTTGCCCTTTATTTATTGTTATTTATTAAAGATCTCGTCATTATTAAGAGATTAATCAGTATGTCCCAAGTACCTAAGTACCAGTCTCTCCTACAAGCTACAGACTCGAAATGAGGACGCGATTTTATTTCGGGATCACGAATCCTGCGCTTCGTTTAAAAGGAACTTCGATCCGTTAGCGAGAAATTTTTCGTGCCGATCGCGCGACCACTTAACGCAAATCGCAAATAATAAATCGTTGGTCGTATAGCATATTAAGCGGAATGTGTATTATGAAGACTAAGTACTCTCTTTCTATGAATAATTCATCTCGTGAATAATTCATGCGTCAGACGGAGGCACAACGCGGAAGATGAGGTACGAAACAGTTAAAAGTAGAAAGACGCATTCGTCGCACGACGACCCGAGTCTAAATCGTCCTATCAATAGTTTACACACACACACACACACACACACACACACACACACACACACACACACACACACACACACACACACATATCGAAAGGAGAGTATATTTAACAATCCATTATAGAGATCAATGAGCAGACTTTTTCGCCCGACTCAGTCGACAATGACAATCGTCCGACGTGTACACAGCAAACGGATTTACAAGAAAATCGCTCTATCCCGTAAGCTCTAAGATGCTCTCTCATTTTAACGATACCGTCGAGATTTCCTTTAATTAAAAGGGACGGGGCGGACGGGGCGCCGGTGCTTGTCATATCATTCTCGTACGGTCGCGCTCCTCTCCCGTCTATTACGGTGCTCAAATAATTGTCTAACCGGATGGAAGGACGAGATCAGGCCCGTCACTCTTGATTATCGGTCGCGACGGCGACACCGATGAGGAGAGCAAATTCGCGCGATGGGCGCGTCACGCGAACCAACGCTGGATGAGAATCGCGGCGGACCGACGCACACCGTAACTATTCTCCGGCGAGCCAGGTCGACAGGACAATATTAAAGATGCATCAGTTACAGCCGTCTGCCGGCATGGAGATATCCCTGGAAAATCGTTAAACCTGCAGCCGGCCTCGTCCTTTCGCGTTTTCGTCCTTTCGCGTGTTCCATTGCAGACGCGGAAGCTGCGACAATCGTTGGTCGCTAACGTCGCGATTCGGGAAATCATGGAATTGTTAATTATTTGCGATGCGGATAATCTGGATCCTGACTTGAGAAGGTATATCTAAGTGACGTATTAAGTAAAGGGTCTACCGGATATATCGATCGGATATTATAATAAATTACAATAAATTTTTAGAATAGACTGGAAAAATCTAGTGGATGGTAAAAATAGTAAATTTCAAATTTTAGTGGACTCTGTCCAATGCAATAAACCAACAAAAATTAGGAAAATGAATTTTTATCACACTGATTATTGGAATTTTGACAAGTATCATATCATCGAATTGTATGTAATATATTTGATAAATTGCAGGTAAGTGTTCTACCGAGGTGACGTATTTGCTTGCTTTTTATCTTAAGATAATTAATGAAATTCTTTTCAATCGCTCGCTTTTGGCGAGCAATTTCCGTTCCTTTGTGTAACTTTCAACTGGTCTCACAACATACGTATATAACGAATTCCATGTCTATTGACACTGTTTGATTATGGTGACATCATTGCGATTATTATATATATAGAAAAGGGTTTGTCTTATTTATTTCTTATTAATATCAAGAGTGAAAAATGTAAAAAAGCCCATCAGAGCCTACATCAGCTATTCGGGTGCACAAAAATTCTTTATTTTTCGTATAAATGTAACAAAACAAATAAAATATACATTTCAACCTTTCAATTCAGGTCCTTATCAATATTAATCGAAATTACATAATTAACGCAAATTCCAAGTTGATGATTACCGACAAATAAGTTCGTTCTTTTTTATCCAAATGCCAAATTAGCTATGTAATAAATAGCCCAATGATTATCAAAATTATTACATTGTACAATAATAATATAAAACTTACATAAAGAAAAACCGCAGTCATATGCATTGCGTCACTACGTAATATCAAGAGTCCTTTATTATTATTATTAATTAGAAAAATTACTAATATGTAATACTGAAATATAATATGTGAATTCTTTATGCAAAAGGATATGTACTTTTGCTGTAGTAAATCACACTGATTTAAGGAAAAATGAAATAAACCAATAATAATGATCCTATAATAATAAAACACTTTCTCTTTATAATAAAGTCTTTTTTAATTCAAATATGTAAAATGTATTTTTAAAATGGAAATGTTGAAAACGTAAATACGTACATAAATGTTTCGAAATTTTATATTAATTTCTAATTTGATGAAAGAAACATAATAAACAAAATCTAAAATTTTTGTCGATATAGATCTGATTCGTCGTTTACCATACGATATCTTGTAACAAAAGACTAGTTTATTTGTTACGTCAATTTCTAATCTATTGTAGATTTTATTTTGAATAAAGATTAAATTGTTTGATTAAAACAATTTCAATCGACGCTGAACAGTATGAATTAGAATATCGATAAAGAGATCTTCTATTTACTTTATTGTTTTATTTACTTTATTTTTAACAGAAGGGATCGATATTTTGTCGGTTTTTTTTCTGGAAAAAAAAAAAAAAATTCTATCGCTGAACATGGACTTTAGCCAAAAAAATATGGAATTTTGTCAACTCCGCTTTAAAAGGATCGTGCGAGTATTGTTAAAATCGATTGAACCGAACCGCCAAGCTCCCGCACTTCTCACGGATGACCGTCTATTGGTTTCCGCTGGTTTTCCCTTGATTTTTCACACAGGACAGCTGCGGGTATCGGACGCCCTTCTATGGGGCGCACGCGCGCGACTATCGCAGCTAATTCTCGAGAACAGAATACCCGTCTCTCTCTATCTCTCATCTCGTCGAAACAATGGTGTCGCCGGTTTAGGCACGGTCGTCGCGAATTAAACGTCACGCATTAATTACCATCCCTTCCCGCGCGCCCATCGCGACGTCCATCGCGGGCGCGATATTAATGGATTACGTATAGTAATACGGTCGTCGTCGCCGTCGGCGCGGGCCCGCTTCCGGCGGCATGAAAGCTCCATTCGAAGCTCGACCGATACTCGCGGGCGTTGCACTCGAGTGAGTAGTCCTACGCGCGTTCACACTGCGACGTTTCCAATTGACGGATTACGCTAACGAACGTCACCGACCGGACTGGTTGACTTCAATCCGAGTCGTATTCCAACGTTCTAGAGTTCTTTAGAACCCTCCATTATTACAGCCTCTGCTTCTTCCAAAGTCTCGTGTCTGCAATGCTGGAAATTACTCCGAGCTCTCGAACGAAGAAGAAATCACCAAGGGTTAGGAAGTAACTCGTCACTTGTTACATTAGCTGCCACACCATTACGTCTTTTTTGTATAAGTGCAATTCTTGTACCGTGCAAAACGTCGGAGAAAGTCTGAAGGAAGGACGATACATCAGGCTACTGATGAAACTCTAAGAACTTTACTCGATACCGATATTCAACAAAGTATTCAAAGGCACATCCACAAAGCGCGATGTCAGGATCATTAGTCGGCAGGTTCAGTCGTTCGCGGTTATTAATAGACAGACAGGCGGAAAGAGAGAGAGAGAGAGAGAGAGAGAGAGAGAGAGAGAGAGAGAGAGAGACAGAGACAGAAAGAGAGAGAGAGTACAAGTTTAGGGCGGGTCCATGAATGTACCATCGTGACACTCGACGACGTCCGCGTCTACGTCGGGACAGTCTCTCCAGAATTCTCGTCTCCCAAAGTTTTAGCGACTGCATCCTCCCTCTTGTAGTTCCTCCTCTTGCACGCGCCGCCGACAGCCGTTTACTTTCGATTCACTTTGAGCCTGCGTCGCAACGACAAGTCGCGGTTCTACGACGAGACATGCGTATCGACGCGAAATAAGCGTCTATCGGATTTCTAATCAAAGAGCGTAGAGTCTTTGGAGTCTTGAGAGGGTGCTTTAGTATGAACAGATGTAGAAAAAAGAGATGACGCGGATTTAGAACTCGAAGATTCTGAAGCTTTAGGAATCAATATTCGTTTTTATCTCTAAAATATAGATTAATTTTAATCACGATTTAATTTACTTTTTGTTCTGTTTTAAATAGGAAGAAATAAAGACTCTAGACGGTCAAGCTGGATCTTTAATGCTTAGATTATTTCGTATACTATATGAATTTATATACTATATACATTCAATGCTGCAAATTGCGAGCTGAATTTAATTTTCAGCAATGCCTGAAATGCAATCTTAATAGAACTAGAGCGGTAATATCACAAATTAAATTGACAAGTAATTTAATAATATTGACGCTCGCAGGCATCTTGAAAGATAATACGATGCTTCGGACTTGTAAATAAATTTATTCCCAAAAATATTACCTCGGCTGCTTTTTACTTGTCCTGTTTTAGTTCTGAGGGCTCGGAAAAAAAAGTCGATGAAAAGTAAATTAAACCGAGATGAAGATTAAATTGACAGAGAGAAAGGAA